GCGGCCGCCCTCTGGGCCAGAGATCATTCCCCCCAAAACCTAGGTATCCACGCAAAAATAATCGATCACGACGTCAAAATATACTAGCCGATTTTCATGGCGTAATCGATAAAACCGGATTCTCAGGTGCTGGTCGTCCAGGGCGACAGCGCGTTCGGCTTCAGCGGCATGGAGCTCGAAACGATTATTAGGTGAGCGCAAGTAAACAGCGAAAAATCTAGGAACTTTGAAAAATAATTTAACAAGTCAACTCCGGGCGTTTAAACTACAGTAAAAATTAATGATAGCTTAGGAAGGCCAGTTTTAGAATAAAACTGAACTTAACGGACTGCAAAAACGAAATTGGATAGTTCAAATCTGGCTCCAAACCACTAAAAAAATTAAATTCTAACGTGATAGCTTAGAAAAATCCCATTTTAAAAAGGGTAATTTAACGATTTGAACCGGGCCCCAAACCACGGAAAAATCTAGATGAAACTGCCTCGTGGTGACGGTAATGGGGAACAATTCCTGGGATCACCGCGGATTGTCGCTCGAAGATATGGCATCTGTTGATGGAGATCCTACCCTCCAATCTGCCTTTCCTATTCTCAGGTGAGTAGGGGAAGATCATTGGGCCCTGAAACCTAAACTAAACGATTGCAAAATTTCGTCTAATCGATTACCCGACCTAAAACTGCAAGTAGAAAATGCTAAAACTAAAGCAATCCAGCCCAAACGCGTAAAAACTTTATAGCTTTTTATTAACAATAAAAATAAGCCGGGATGGACCAAAAATCGCCGATTTTCGCCCAAAATTGCATCTAAAAAGTTCTTTTCGAAGTTTTGGTAGTGGTTTCTCCACTGAAATATAGTTAAATTTTACTCAAAACGCGATCAAAACACTCTCTATTATGTCACTCGGCACTGCTGGACTTCTAGGAAAATTTTGGTCCCCCCCCCGTTAACGCGAAAGAATCAAAAAAAGAGCAACCAAAGCAGAAATGACGTTTTCAGCGCGGAATGCCGTTACGACAAAATGTGCGAATCGCTTGGAGGGGTCGGATACACGGCTAGAACTGTACCCGAAATCAAGCAGGTACGCAACTCGTCGCTTTCCAGTTCCTAAAACTTAAAATAACCACCAACATTCCCTCTGATTTAGTGCCTGGCCAAATCATTCGAAGAGCCCTCCCGCCCATCCCTCATCAATGTATTCATCGCCACGGACAGCGAGCGAAAGAAACAAGAACACAACTGGCTCACAAGGTCCAAGATGTAGACCTGAAATTTGGGCGGGCAAACTCGTTTTTTTTTTGTCTAAAATTAACGTCGATAAATTGTAGCGAAAAGTCGCTATTTTTACTTTATTTAAAAAGGCGCCCTGAATTATGCGAACCCTCGACATACATGGGGATCCAATTACGCTAAAAAACTCCTGTACGGCAGCCTCTACTAATAAATCACCCAAACGTCCAGTTTTTTTTAAAGAAAGCCATTCTATTTTTCCTAAAAAAAACTCCAATAGCATAAGGCCATAAATGACAATTCTTCCAAAATTAACGCCATAAATTGGTAATAAAAAGCCAAGCTTCCTAGAAAAGACGCAAAATCTGGCTGATATCGCAAGTTTCTACGCTATTTGAAAAGTACTACTTTGAATTTTCAAAACTTGCTCTAGGCGAACCCTCGCCATAAACAACAGCAAAAATAGGGTAAAAAAAAGCTCCTGCAGCACAACTTCTCCTAAATAAACGTCGACAGCATCGCATTTTGTGGATAGAATATAAAAATGTGCGCACGAGTTTGTTTTTTAAAATAAACGGCTGCTAAAGCTACAGCGCAACAAGATAGAGCAAAATATCTGATATCTTATACGCTAAAAATTAACTATCAAAAACGAAGAAACGTAAATTTCACGGCTTTAAACGCTTGAACTTTCCGGCCTTGTTGCTAAAGATTTACTAGCATCTAAAGCGACCAAAATTAAGCCTGAAAACCATTGCAAAATGTTCCAAGAATTCAATGAACACTCCGAAAAAATCACGGCTTTTCAAAACCTGTTTTCTGAAACACAAAACTCTGTTGCACATGATAAAATTTATTCAAAATCGAGCGCGTAAAAAAACAGCTAAAACACACGCAATTTAAGAGACCGACAATCAAGTAAACAAAGCTGACTAGTCCTCATTTTTCATCAAATCTTCGCCCAATTCAGTGAGTCGAGTGGCCAGCTGACGAGCAACGGGAATGTAGACCTCACAGTGCTTCTCGAACTTGTGGCCAGCATCGTAGACCTTCACCACGATCTTTTGAGCATCGCGGTGCTTGGTGCAGGCTTTGATCTCGAGCAAACGGTCCTTTCCCGCCTTCAACACTTTCTCCACAGCATCGTCGATCGTCGCTTGGATGTATTTTAGGTTTCCATGCAGACCTTCGAGATTCTCGGTGTACTTTTTATCGCTTCGCTGCTCCATTTGGTCGAGTTCGATGCCGAGAAGCTTGACAACAGCGTGGCTATGGTGAGAATCGAAGGAACAGACACCACAGAGGACCGTTTGACAATCCTTGCAGTTGAAAAGGCGCTCGACAGGCTGCTCGATGCTGCACTCCGAGCAGTTCTGCAAGGCTCCGTTCTTACGATCCTCCTCCTTCTTAGCTTCAGCGAGATCCGTTTCCTTCGTTTTCTCCCTCAATTCCACAAATTCGTTGCTCTGCACGATTTCATGTGTGAACTCTAACAGCCGAGCTGCAGGATAACACTCAGATCCCCTCGTGATGATGTTGCACTTTTTACAGCGAATGCCGTCCGTCGTCTTCAGGCGGTAACAGCTCAGGCAATGATAATGTCGACATTCGAGGAGAAAAACGATGGCGCCTTCGAATACTTTGATACTCTTTTCACATCCGACGCAGAGTGGCTCGTTGATGGGCAGAGTATATTCGTATCCATCATCCGTCTTTTTGAATGCTGGTTGATTGAGGAAGTCCATCATGCCACGATTCATCGGGGTGTCGCCGGGGAAGCATGTGAGACACCAGGAAAGGCAAAGGTTCTTGCCGTATCCAGGCCTTCTCGGCTCCCCCTCCTTGCAATCGAACGGCTTCTCACACCTGGTGCAGTTGAAAGCCTCCGTCAGCATCGTCGTTTACCTGGAATTAAAATATTAAGATGAAGATAGCTCCGTGTAGAACAATAATATAGAACAATTGAAAAGTACTACGTTGAATTTTCAAAAACCTGCTCTACGCGAACCCTCGCCATAAATAGCAGCAAAAAAGGTGAAAAAGCGCCTGCTGCACAGCTTCTCCTAAATAAACGTAGGCAACTTCGCATTTTTGGATAGAATCTTCTACTAAATTGGGCGCACGACCTGTTTCAAAAAATTTACTAGCATCTCAAGCGACGCAAATTATGTCTGAAAAACCATTACGAAATGTTCCAAGGATTCAATGAAAGCACCGAAAAAATAACGGCTTTCAAAATCCGTTTTCTGAAACACAAAAGACCGTTGCACATTATAAAATTTATTCAAAATGACAAATCGAGCGCGTAAAAAAACAGCTAAAACACACGCAATTTAAGAGGCCGACAATCAAGTAAACAAAGCTGACTAGTCCTTATTTTTCATCAAATCTTCGCCCAGCTCCGTCAAACAAGTAGCCAATTGGCGAGCAACAGGAATGTAGACCTCGCAGTACTTCTCGAATTTGTCGGCAGCATCGTCCACCTTCACCACGATCTTTTGAGCATCGCGGTGCTTGGTGCAGGCCTTGATCTCCGCCAAGCGCTCCTTTCCGGCCTTCATCACTTTCTCCACCGCCTCGTCGATCGTCGTTTGGATGTATTTTAGATTTCCATGCAGACCTTCGAGATTCTCCGTGTACCTTTTGTCGCTTCTCTGCTCCATTTGATCAAGTTCAATGCCGAGAAGCTTGACAACAGCGTGGCTATGGTGAGAATCGAAGGAACAGACACCACAGAGGTCCTTGTGACAGTCTTTGCAGCTATAAAGGTACTCGATTTCTTGCTCCCGGCCGCAATCAGAGCAGTCTTTGATGGCTCCCTTCTTTCGATCCTCCGCTTTCTCGACTTCAGCATGATCGATTTCCTTCACTCGCTTCCTCAACGCCGAGATTTCCTTAGGAGCTGCCTTTTCTTCTTCCACTCTGCGCGTCTTCTCCAGCGTGACGATTTCATGCGTAAATACCGACAGTAAAGTTTCGGGAAAGCATGATGGTCCTTCAGTCATCATATTGCACGTCAAGCATTCCTTGCCCTTTTTCTGCGTTTGGTAATAGCATCCGTGACATAGATAATGACCGCATTGACCTAGGAAGGCGATTGCGCCCTCGAAGACTTTAATGTTCCCTTGGCATCCGAAACATTTTGGCTCGTTGATAGGCAGAGTATATTCGTATCCAGCATCCGTCATTTTGAAAGCTCGCTGATCCAGGAAATCCATCAGACCTCGATTGAGCATTGCGAAGGTAGAGTAGCATCTGGTGCACCAGGCCCGTCCATATACTGCATCGAACCAGGGGGATTTCGGCTCTCCCTCCTTGCAACCGAACGGCTTCTTGCAACCCTTGCAGTTGAAGGCTTTTGTGAGCATCATGGCTTTACCTGGAATTCAAATATTACTATTAATAGCTCGGAATTCCCAAAATTTCAGACGTTAAGCTGACAGTTCAATGCTAGCAAACAACGGCGCAACATCTGTAAAATCCGCAAGGTATACGCGACGATCGTTGTAATCTGCTGTGCATTTTCCGACGATACACAAAATAGGCACCGATATTTATGTAATTTTAAAGATTCGCAATGAAAACAGAGGGCGAGACGAATGAGGAGGAAAGAAGAAGAAAAGACTGCGAATAAACCGGCATCATTTGGGGAGGGCAAAGAGAAAATAAATATTCACTCGATCGATCAATCAATCAAATCACAAACACACAAAAGAGAACAAGCACAAGTCATCGTCTTTTTAGAAAAAGCATTCAATGAGGGGGAATATTTAATGGATGGCGGAGACTTGTTCGAGATTCTTGTGCACCATCTCTTCCTTCAGGATCAGATGCGAGACCTGGAAAATAGAAAAGTAAATCGAAATCGTCTGGTAAAATGACCTTGTTGAGGGTGTCGGTCAATCGTCGCACATTGTCGGCCCATTGATCGAGATGGTCGACGTGTGCCTATTTATGGAGAAGTAAAAATCCTGATCGATTAATGTACCTTCTTGGCCTTCAGATTGACGATACGATTCGGGCGATCGATCTTCGCATTCGGGATCATGCCGTTGACGATCAGATTGCACAGGAATTGTTCCATCTCCTAAAACAAACGAAGATTAACAACGATCTGGCGACGTACAGCCACAGGGAAATCGAGCAGCTCGGCCAGGCGGTCGAACGTGATCTGCGTGTAGTACTTCGACACCATGCGCAGGTTCTGAAAAGGCCAAAATAGCTTTAAAAACATTAGAAAAGCTTACGTGTTCTCCAACGCGTACGTGCAGATCCTCCCAACGTTTGTTGCCATTGGCCGAGTCGTCGAAAATCTAAAAATAAAGATCTAACGCAAATTTTGATACAAACCCCAGTGGCAGGATTGGCGGGAGTGCCGACACGAAGGAGTGCTTGGTACGTCTTGCCCAACTCGGTCCAGCTGATGATCTCCTGGTTGATGAACAGCTCGAGGAATTTCTGAAATTCAAGCAAATTATTGAAAGTCCAAAAAGCCACCTTATACTCGAGGATCGACTCCAAATCGCGCATCTGAACGAGGCGATGGACGAGATCCCATTGCTCATTGCCATGCGGGGCCAACAGCACGTAGATGACGGCACACTTCAGGGCCATCTTGTTCTTCTCCAGATCGCCGAGGATCTTTGGCGTCTCTTGGATTGCCCTGTAGTGGCGGCACACGTCCAAATAGTTGTTGTTGTGCAGGCCGACGGTGATCATCAACTCGTAGAACTTGAGCTTCAGATTTTGCACCTAAATTGAAAGAATAATCGCTTTGAAATGAGCCCCAACCTGATCCTCAACAGGTTCCTTGGTGAAGAACTTGGTGCTGATCTTCTTGGCAATGATGCTGGCACGAACGTAGTCTTCACGAGCGACAGATAGTCGCATCTGTTCCAGAAGGAATTCCACCTCAAAATCACTTTTTCAGAAAAGAAAACAACTGAATACCCTCTCCTTGACCTCCATACTGCCGTACGTCTCGACCTGGAGCTCGAGAAGCATCGTCGCCGCCTCCTCCAGTTTTCCTACAAAAATAGAGCTATTAAAAGAATTCGTAACAAGAGAAACCTTGTGCCTCAAGCTTCTTGACGACATACGACGTCAAACGAGCCCGTTCCACTTCCACGTAAATCTAATAAAATGAAAATTATAGGTTTAAAATGCTTTGAAAAAACTTTCCAGCAGTGACAGTGCGGAGTGTCTCGCTGAGCTTCATCCTCAATTCTTCAGTTGGCATCTTTTCAACCATTTGACAACAGCTGCGAACCATTCGAGCGATGGCCACCTTGATGAGAAGCCGCTTCTTCGACAATGCCAGAATTGTCTCGTTTAGCAGATCCCATTGTTTCCCGTCAAAGCACATCCTACAAAAAGAGGAATTATCTTTGAAAGTAGCATAATACTGACTGGACCATATGTTGAACGACGCGGGCATTGCTCTTCATATCACTGCCGAGACGCGACTGCTTCTCCAGTGTGTTCAACGACTCGACAGCACCCGCCACGTTTCCAGTCTGAAAAGCGGAAATTGAGAGGGATTAAGCTTCTCTACCTTGGCAAGAATATCGGCATTTGGGAGGGCGGCGTCGACATCTTTGGTGTAGTCGTACTCCATCTTCAGAAGACGGCCATCGCCCACCTGAAAAAATGAATGAAGCCTGAAAGGATCTGATACCTATGCGGCGAGCTGGGCCAAGGAATCCGTCCTTCGACATGGGGCCCGACGAGCAGCTCGGTGCGCTGCTTCGGCATTATCCTGCAAAAAAGTGGTAAAAAAAGACAAATGAACGAATGGAAAGAAATCAGAAAAACAAATCAAATCAATATAAATGTTTAAAAGTTCCGAGAAACTCCGATTTGCTAAGGAGGCCGATAAAACCTTTTAGTAAAATGGATAAATCAAAATAATATTTAAAACTAGTAGTAGAACGGATACGGAGCGAAACCCAATTCCTAAACAAGGAGCGAC